GTGGGGGGGGGGGGGGGGGACTTGGATTGAGAAGATGAAGTAGACAATTCCTTTTTTTTTTTGCTGCTGTTGGAGAAACAATTTGTCCGTCAGCCACAAATCTATCGCATGGAAAGAATGTAAAGAAAAGGGAAATTGGATCTAACTCAGGCGTAAAAACTAGCTCATGAGGTGAGGATTGTCCAAGACAATATATATGAATAACATCCCATTCCATCATCCAATATGGACACAATTTGACGAACAAGCACAAGATTGAACAAATAACTCAACATCCATAAAAAATAAGATGAATACAAATACATTGAATGACATGGTTTCATCACAATCTTAGAATGAAAAACATAGCCATGTCTAGGAATAGTCATGCACTTCTCAATTATAATGAAGGAACTAAGAAAAATTAGAAGAAAGTTGTCTGGGAAGGTCATCTTTTCAAGAATCTCCTTTCTTGCCTTCATTTTCTTGCTCTTAACTGTCAGCTTTGCCTTAATTGTAAAATTTCCTTATAGATGTCATGGTGCAAGTTTGTGGCACCTATGAGGGTGCTCAAGCCTTCCGTTATCCTCCTATTGTGCTCCATTTGTGACTCTTGGCCTTCTGGCTCCACCCCCTGCTTGAACATCCTTCAAAACCTTAAAGGACCTTGTCACAGTGCAACCAAATCACCAAGAAATCACTATTGAAGTGTCAAATAAAGGTTAATTGCACATTATCACATGTGACATGCAATATCATCACAGAATAGACACAGTTTACCTCCAAATGAAGTAAACATAGTATAGAACATCGTTAAAACTACTCGAATATGAGCATTATATCTGTCCATAGGCCCATCACCCAGTTTCCTGGCTTTACCATTATAGTTAGCACTTCCTTTGTATGGAAAACCAGCTCACGGTGCATGTATGGATTTCTTTCACCATATATCAAGCACAGTTTGTGCCCGAATCTTTCAGAAGAACAAATAGAACAATGATTATCGTAACACTCTTCCCTAGAGTTTTAAAATGAACTGGCTAATTTGAGCTTACTGCACCTTAGAGCATGTTGAAGTTTCTGATTGTTCTTTACATATAGTTCTAGGCTTCCACTTTCATTTTCATACATGTAAATCCCCCAAGGCGCATTCCTCTTTTTCTTTAAATTTCCCTGCTCATATCTGTTTTTAAATAATCGTGGTGTCCAGGCCAACTTTTGCATACCTCGACTAATTTTACGGGTCCTGCTACCTCCAACCAGCACAGGTGCCGGGTATTTGTCCACCAAGGCTTGGACAAATAGAAAGAATCACTTGGTGGTTTTTTTTCGTCCGTTAGGATTTTAACTTTGAACTTCATGGGTTTCAACAAACTTCATTGACCATTAAGCCACATGCTTGGGTGCTCATATCTGTTCCACTTAGGTTGTCAAAGTATCTTCGAGCTGTGACTTTAAAACCTGATAATGACATTTTGAGAACACATGGAACAAGAAGTTATTTTTATGCCAATCTCTTGGTATTCATCTTTAGAAAACAAGCATGATAATAGTCTGATGTGCAGCTTTATTTGCTTCAGTTGTCATGTATATTTACTTGTGTAAAGAAGACTTTTGAATTTGTTTGTCTGATTTTGACTTGACACGGGGTTTAAGAATGCAAAGAAGACTTTTAAATTTTGTGGTCTTAAACTAAAGTAATGTAGAATGTACCAAAATGCCCTTTAATCTTGTAGTCTTAAACGTGTCATGTGGAAAGTTGAAATTAAAGAGTTGCTAAAAATGGAAAAGAAACATTCTTTTTGAAACTGACTAAAAAAAACAAACAGACAAAAAGATTGAAACTGAGGGAGTACTACTGTATTCACTATTCTTTTGTAATTTGTTCATATTTTGTACTTCTGTGTAATGGACTAATTTTTATCTATTCTGTCTCGCAGTTTATGACTTCAGAACACCAGTTCATATCACGAAAGAATGAAGGAGATAGGATGATTGTATTTGAAAGAGGAAACCTAGTTTTTGTCTTTAATTTTCACTGGACAAAAAGCTATTCAGACTATCGCATAGGCTGCCTGAAGCCTGGAAAATACAAGGTATGCTGAGTTGAAACCTTTCTTTTTTCCAAGTACGTTTACTCAATCTTTTATTTGAAATGGAAGTCATCACTTTTGTATTAGCGATACAACCAATTAGTTGACCTACGTTAGAATGAACAATCAGAAAATGTTCTTTTGATTAATGAATCGTTACAGCTCCCCGTCTTGATCCAAACCATTCAATTCCCTTTTCCTTCTCTTTTATACCATCACCTAGGAACCTAAAATAAATCCAAGGACTTCTATTCTTTGTAGTAGTGTATATAAATATGAAATGCTAAGTTTGAAATGCTGGTATTCGTTGACCGTTATGTTGTCTCTTCCTATATCTTTGCTTGCAATAGCCAATCGTAGGATGATCAAGTGATAAATCAAGAATTGACACCTCATGGTATTACTTCCATTAAAGTGGTAGAGCGTCTCTACCTTCCAAGGTAGGGATAAGGTCAGCATATACACTATCCTCCCCAAAATCCACTTGTGGGATTACATTGTATATGTTGTATAAAGTGGTAGACGGCTATGAGGTTTTGTTGGATGGTAGATAATATTAATGCAAATGTGAAGACTGACATTCAATTCAAAATCAGTACTTTCTTGGAAGGGTTGGAAAGCAAGAATTTTTCGTGTAACACTTTAGTGACAAACTCTATGCGCTCTAGTTCGGAGCTGGTCCATTTCCTGTATTTAACAAAAAGGGACATCGGGTTATCCCTCGAATTATGTGTCTTTTTGAAGTCCTTACTGTATGCGCCTCAATATCTTTCAGAATGTTGCCTTAGTTTCTTCATCAGCTTCTTGATGTGCTCTATGAACTCGATTAATTTGATGTGATTTACTGAAAAATGTTGCGCCTCTAGGTTGCCTTGGACTCAGATGATCCACTTTTTGGTGGCTTCGGGAGAATTGATCATAATGCCGAATATTTCACCTTTGTAAGTTAAAATCTCCCTTCGTTATTATCTCAGCCTGTGACTTTTAGTTTTGTTTCAGAAAGAATTTTCTAATATCTACACAACCTCATCTAAACAGGAAGGATGGTATGATGATCGTCCTCGTTCAATTATGGTGTATGCACCTAGTAGAACAGCAGTGGTCTATGCACTAGTAGACAAAGAAGAAGAAGAAGAAGAAGTAGCAGTAGTAGAAGAAGAACCCATTGAAGAATGAACGAACTTGTGATCGCGTTGAAAGATTTGAACGCTACTTGGTCATCCACATAGAGCTTCTTGACGTATCTGGCAATATTGCATCAGTCTTGGCGGAATTTCATGTGACAAAAGGTTTGCAATTCTTTCCACTATTAGTAGTGCAACGATATACGCAGAGATGAAGTGCTGAACAAAAACATATGTAAAATCGATGAATTTATGTCGAATGCTGGGATGGGCTTCAGCAGGTTTTGCTTAGTGAGTTCATATTGTGTTCTGTAAATTCTCATCTCTTAATAGAGCTGATCTAATGATCTCTTTTAGTCACTTGGTGCTTGTTGCAAGTGGGAGATGATAGGTAGGTTACCTATGGAATGAGCCAAGGTGTGCCCAAGTTAGCCTAAACACCACGGTTATTAGAAAATCAAAGTTCTTAAATGAAGCCTAATGTAGGTTAAGTACTTACTCTAGTAAACTGATCATTAAATAGATACAAATAGGCGTATATTTTAAGAAAAAAGATCAATCTTTTCACATTCTTTTTGGGATGTCGTTGAACTGAAAGTTGACTCAAACATCGTGATCATAATAAGAAAGTGTAGATATCCTTGTCATTTTCTCATTGGAAAAAGAAATTAGCAAAACCAAAATAATACAAACATAGCTAATGCAATGCACCTTTGTAGTATGCTTTCAATACAAAAGATGGGAAAAAGTAACACAACAAAGAGTTGGACGTGCTGCCACTTGTCTAATCAAGTGCCAACATAACTAGCCTCCGACGTGGTGCCACGTGGCAAGTGATACAAAACGCTCGTTGGCGATGAGTTGGACATCGATGACCTTAAAGCCTCGGCTAGTGGTCCACTCATCGATGCCACTTGGTTCGTTCCCCACATGGAACGTTCAACGTTATAGACTCGAGTACCAGAGTTATGTCTTTCTCCCGTAGAGAGCTTTAACGAGATGTCAGACGAGGGATTTCCGGGCATCGAAATGGAGAGACTGGTGGCAGAAGCCATTGAAGTAGCATTTTCATTTTCTTCAACTTCTTGTATAGGCCAATCATCAAAGAAATGGCGAAGGATTTGGCCACTAGATTTTCCATCATTTTGGGCTTCCATTGGACCTTTTTTCTCAATTATCGATTTTGAAGGCCTACAAATCAAAACAAGAATTAACTTAAATAGTCGTCTAGTCAACGATATGTATAATCTATATGTAATGTGTATAATTGTATATAATCTATGTGTATATCAGACAAGAAAAGTAACCATGAATCCGATTGGCTATTTGTTAAGATCTCATAATACCCTATTACTATTTAATATTTATCACATATAGTTATTTTATATGTGACCTGATTATATAAATATTTTTTATGCTATCGTACATAAAACTTACACATTAGTACATAGGGGGGGGGACCTTTACTAATGCAGAGACAAAGAACAAGTGGATAGGGTGCAACTATGCACTAAAGGCTAAAGCAAACTCAAGAAAAAAATAAAGAATGTGGACCAAAACAATCTTGAATGAGATTTTAACAATCACGAGAAAAATTTTCAGTAAGTGGACCCCTCCATGAGTGAAAAAATAAATAAATGTAAATATGATTATGGAATTTGAAATAGATAAAGATAAAGCTATTTGATCAAGGTTTTAATTTAGATACTCTCTTCTTATGACAACAACAATAACAAGTTTAGTGTAATTTCACTCAGAAGGGTAGTCATAGACATACCTTATTTCTACCTTTATAGGTAAAGAGGTTGTTTCTAATATACACTTAACTCAAAACATATGCAATCAAAGCATGAAAGGAGAAAAAGACGGCAACAAAACAACAAGATAATCATAACAAATGAAATAACAGGTAATAGTGAAAATTAGGAGAATATGATACTACGATATGTGTATACCAACTAATACTTACTATACTACAATACTCAATTATCTATTACTCTTTTATCTTTATTCTCGAGATCCAAATCTTTCTATTTAGGCCCTCTTGTGAGACAAGTATTAATCAGCAACGTTTTTGGTCGAGTTAGAAATACTCATTCATCTTTAATTAGAGTTCTTAAGGTTCCAAATCCTCAGTATGGAATCATCTTTGTACGAGAACACTAAATCGTTAATATAGAATTTTTCAATGCAAATCCAAATTTAATCGACTTCACTATATATATCAAATACCAAATAAAAAACCAAAACAATTTAATATTAGCTCCTCTCAGTAAGTGCCCCCCACCCTCCAAGAGTGAATAAAAGAAAGAATATTAGGAAAATGTGATAATGGAATTTGAAGTAGATAAAGATAAAGCTATTTGATGAAGGTCTTAATTTATATATTCCCCCTTTTGGGAGACAACTATCAATCAAACATCATAACTTTGAGATGTCTCTTTGGAGGTGGTAGGGAAAAAGATAATGATGGGGTTAGAAGAGAATAATACACACACATAAATTAGTCCCTTTAGAATAAAGTTAAAAGAGTTCAAATTTCAATGTTTGTCATTGCATTATTGAACTTCTTGTCTCCCTCTTTTGCTTAAAACCATTCATGTTTTTAGTGGGAGACCAAAAAATAGTTGACAAAACTATTCGATATTTGTGTTGGTGGAAAGTAAGATATTTCATGGAATTTGTTAAAGTGTATGCAAACTGGCTTGGACATCATAATTGTAAAAAAAAAGAAAAAGACCAATCATGTCAACGTTTGTTAAAAACCATCCGTGTTCTCGTTGAAAGTAAGAATGAAACTAGATGATTTCTTCGCATCTATTTAAGCTCTAGATATAAGATCATGTTTAGTGTAAACAATTACTTGATGATTTAAAACATTATATATTATCGATGCACATAACTTAAACTCAACATTTCAAAAAGGTATACCTTTGATTGAGTTGAAGTAGATCAATTGAATTTGCATGTCCAGATAGAGCAAATTGAGGAGTAACCCCGCCATGACTTGCCATGGCGGGGTTGACTTTAAGGACTTCATTGCCACCCCTGCTGCTCGTGGCTGCAATGCAGCC